TTGCCAGCCCACCACCTGCTCTAAGGTGTGATGATGGCTTTTTGAACACAGGAAGAAGTTTCAGATGCTGCCAAATAAATGACAGATATGCACACCACCTATGTATGTATGTTGTTGTTGTTATGTGCCGTGGAGTCGGGTCCAACTCATAGTGACGCTGTACAGGGTTTCCGAGGCTGTAAATCTTTATGGGAACAGAAAGCCTCATCTTTCTCCCGCAGAACAGCTGGTAGTTTCGAACTGCTGACCTTGAGGTTCGCAGCATGATTCGTAACCACTATGCTACCAGAGCTCCTTATGAGCAGAAAGATATGTATATACATATGTCTTTTGTTAGACCTTGCAATTAATAGGAGCAGAAAGATACACATACATACAACATCTTTCTGCATATATAAATATATACATATGCATGTGTATCTTTCTGCTCCTATTAACTGCAAGGTCTAACAAAAGACATAGGATTTCACAGATCAGAACAATACGAACTAATTTAGCTGTTAGTTACTCCAGTGAGAATAAGCAGTGTCTCAGGATCCCTAATTCTAAAGCAGTTAGGTTACTGTAAGTCTTTGCCTTTATTCCTGGTAGTTAACCTCTTCTCTGAGTGGTCTATGATTTACTGCCTCTTACAAAGATGTTTGAAAATCTTAGTATACATATTGTGGTAGGTTTTGCACTACATTTTATTCTTACCTACTGAGGATTGTGATTGATAAGTGCCTTCGAGACAGTTATGACTCATAGTGACCCTGTGACTCATAGTGACTCATACGGTTTCCACGGAGCAGCTGGTGAGCTTGAACCGCCAACCTTGTGGTACAAACCAACTTTGTAGTCCAATACATTAACCCACAGTGCCACTACTGAGGATTGTAGTTGTTGTTAGGTGCCACTGACTCATAGCAACCCTATGCGTAACAGAACAAAACACTGCCCAGTCCTGGGCCAACCTCACAATTGTTGCCACGCTTGAGCCCATTGATGCTGCCACTTTGCCAATCCATCTCGCTGGGGGTCTTCCTATTTTTCTCTGACCCTCCCCCTTACCACACATGATATCCTTCTGCAGCGACTGGTCCCTCCGGACAGGACAGTATGTTCAAAGTATGAGAGATGAAGTCTGGCCATCCTGGCCTCCAAGGAACACTCTGGCTGCAATTCTTCCAAAATGGATCTATTGGTTCTTTTGGCAGCCCATGGCACTTTTCAATATTCTCCTCCAACACCATAACTCAAATGCATCAATTCTTATATGGTTTTCCTAATTCACTGTCCAGCTTTCACATGCATATGAGGTTACTGAAAATACCATAGCTTGGGTCAGGCGCACCTTAGTCCTCAAGCTGACATCTTTGCTCTTCAACATTTTAAAAAGGTCTTGTGAGCAGATTTGCCTAATGCATGCGTCATTTAATTTCTTGACTGCTGCTTCCATGAGTGTTGATAGTTGATCCAAGAAGAATGAAGTCCTTGAGAGAAAAAACATCAGTTTCAAATAAAGATATTTAAATCTTTTAGCTGCTTAACATTATTTGCTTTAGTTTAATTCTTAGATGCACATTTTCCCCTTACATGTTAATGTTGTTAAATAGCTTTACATCTTTAAAATAAAATAGCATAATAAAATTGGCAACATTTTTTACTTTGGGTGTTACACAAACTGATGGTGTTTCTTATTAATAATATAAAAATTGGGAAAATAAAATTTTTAACTTAAACTAGCAATTAGTTACAAATGTAAGCTTAACGTCATTCATTCCATATCGCCTTCTTATCAATGTCTTCATAAATTTTACAAATTTAGGACATGATGATTCTCTAGGAAATTATAGAAACCTGACCCAAACTCTCACTTCCACTTCTTTATTTTTACAGCTGTGACATCTCTGTTTATATATAAAAAAAAAGGCACCTGCAGTCTCTTCCAGAGCCTCTGGGTGGTGTGTAAATTATGCAAGGGAATCTTTAGACTAGCCATAGACCTCTGTCTGTCATATGCTTTCCTGGACTCACTAATAGAGCCAACACTTTCCCTTTCCTTACTTTATTATTTCAAAGATTAGTGACCCTATGAAGCTCCATTTGAGAGTCAAACAAATAGAGAATTATACTCAGGATGTTAATGCATTGTTTCTCTTTGTATCCTCCATCAGAAAGAATCCTTTCTTTTGTACTTCCCTTCTGCCTCCCATACTTCTTTGAGATCAATCATAACATGGCTTATATTTATATACTAATTTGCATATTTCATATACATTTGTGTATGAGTCACACATAAGTTTCATGTGGCAAGAATGATTGTTTCATTTTACAGGTAAGCCGAGTGCTCAGATAGTATATAACAGATTTTATATTATAATTTATCTCTGTAATTTGGAATCAATTGTATTACTTCTTATCCATTTTAATCTTTAATATCCTGATTTACATTGCCTAGACTACTACTGTTATATCTATTTCCATTTAAAATTCTTTTAATAAAGAACTTGACCAAACAATGGAAATTTGTAGTATTTATTAGATATAAAATGAATTTGTATACTTTGTTGCATATGATATCTAGCATTTTTAGTTATGGTTAATTCACTTTCAATTGATCTGATGAATATTACCACAAATTAGTTACTTTAAAGAAGAAAGGAATTTAGTAACTATTTCCACCTAAACAAAAAAATCTTTTAGACAGTCTTCCTTAAACAATCATTAATCTTCTTTGTCTATAACTTTTCTCAATACCTCTTTTATTTCATTTCTAGTTATGTTTCGCCTTTATGACACCGATGGAAATGGCTTCCTGGACAGTTCGGTAATTTTTTTCCTTTAAATTTTCTGTGAAAATTTCAAAGTAGTTTTTTTTTTTCTGAAAAATGCAATGAATAAATTTATAGCTATTACCACAGAAGACACACTTAATATAATTTCCATGTAGTCATGTAGCATTTTTATCGTCTGACTTTTTCAAAACGAGTGATCTGTGAAAACTGGGAGGATTACGATTGTACTATTGAACAGCTTTGCTACAAAGACATTACCTTTTATTTATTTATTTTTTTCCTTGCACTGAACTTAGATAAAAAAGGAAGACTCCAGCTTGGCCTGAATAAAACATAAGATAAATTTGAGATCATTGAACTAGAAAGAAGGAAAAATGACCAGAGGGACTGAACATTACTAAGAAAAATGAGAATGCAAGTAGAATTTAAAGGAATTAAAGTCAATTTAATTATTTTCTTATTTTCCCCCTTAAAAGCATTCTCGGTTATATATGCTTTTGAAATAAATATATTTACAGATTACTTTGACAAAATTCCTTTTAAAATTCTTCATCTAATTTTATATGCAACTTGAACTTTTTGTATAGTTTCAATTATAAAAACAACAGTAGAAGAAGAGTGACATGTTTGAATGATTAGCAGAGAGAATGATACATATAGTTTTAGTTTTTCCTATGATTTAGCTGAAAGGAGTAATGAAAATTTTAAATTATAATATGTACATATTATTCATAGTTCAGAGAAGGTAAAAATAGACTAAATTCTAATCCACAGCCAATTATCTCTTAAACCGGTCTCAGGTTCCATCCAGATATTTTATAGTGACTAATCGGGTATTTTGCATATTGTATTATTTCCTGTTCTCACCCAGAAAAAATATACCTATTAATAAAAGAACAAGTGTCAGGTTACAGAAATTTTCCAGTACATAGGTACATAAAAACATTTTGATATGATAAATATTGATTAAAATAAATCATGTCTCTGATAATGAGTTTCCCTCATCATCTTATAGACTTTCACAAGCAAAGTAATTTAGCTGGAGACACTTTTATGTAACACTGAGTAGGATAATGGTGCATCAACATCTCCAGAGAGAGATAAAAATAAGTTGGTGCTATGATTGTGAGATTTCTTGTAGTTAGCTCTGTTATTTTCAATTGCTGGGGTTTTTTAAGTGCTTGGTACTTTTAAACTTTCCATTTAGAAATATTAAACTACATGATACATTTGCTCACTCTTTTGTGACATTTCACAGCAGTAACTTTAAATTTCTTTGAGATATTTCATTATGCTTATTGTAGCACTTCTGATTACACTAATCCAACTGTATTACAAAGTAGATTTGTTTTATTTAATGTTTCTTCTTAGTTAAATTAAAAAGATGCTTCTTTACTAGACTTTAAACAATTCAGCCAAATGCTTTTTTTTTTGGCCTTTGGCCATTTTTCATTAACATATAGTGGGTTATCAATAATATTTATAACAATAGTCTCAATATTGAACTATTATTTATGGATAAATAAATATGTATATGGTTAAGTTAGTCTCTTTTTTTATATATAATCAGATTTAGATTACTTCCTGTTGTTTGTCCACACTATTTTTGCTGGAGTATATTTTCTTAAATATCAGGTTAAAAATAATACCATTCAAAATTATTTGTCCTAAAAGTGTAAAGGTGTAGCGGTTCACTCTTTAGAGGCAAAACAGAAAGAAAATGGGTAATTTGAAGAAATAGCAGTAAGTCTTAGTGTTGTTGTTAAGTGCTGTTAAGTCATTTCCAACTCATAGTGACTCTGTATAGGGTTTATTGTTGTTGTTGCTAAGTGCCATTGAGTCAGTTCTAACTCATAGCAACCCTATATAAGGATTCCAAGGAGCATCTAGTAGGTTAACCGGATGAACTTATCCTACAGCTACAAATCTTTACAGGAGTAGAAAGTCTCATTTTTTTTCCCGCGGAGCAACTGATGAACTCTAATCATCAGCCTTGTGGTTAGCAGTCCACTACTTATACTACAGAGTCACTGAATGCCTAATATATCTTATGATAGTTGTTGTTAAGTGCCATTGAGTTGGCTCCAACTCACAGTGATCCTGTTTTGGGTTTCCGTAGAGTGGATGTTGAATTTGAACCACTGACCTTGCAATTCCTACTGACCTTGTGGTCCAGAACTTAATCTACAGTGCAACACCAGGACTCCCTCATGATAGTAGTTACTGTTATGCATCACTTACAGTGTGCCAGACATGAAATTAAGCATATTTTATATAACAATTTGTTTGATCTTCATAGTAACCGAATGAACTAGATAAGGTTGTTGTTAGGTGCCATCAAGTTGGTACCGACCCATAGCGACCTTATGCACAGCAGAACGAAACACTGCTAGGCTATCCATTTTGCTGATACAGAAACAGAGTATTAAGAGAAGTTACATCTCTGATCTAATGTAGCTAATACCCATAGAATATAGAAGGAAATGCAGTAAAAGAGTATAATATAATGTCAAGCCTTTTCTCTTATTCCTTTCATATATTAGTTTGTCATACTATAAAGGTCCACTTAATGCACTGAATTAATTTAAAATGTAAAAAAACTTTATAAAACCATGATAAAGTTTTTCTTGAGATAGGGAAAATAAAATATTTAATAAATATGTATGAAAATGGTTTTAATTTATTTAGCCAAGCCATATGCATTAGCTAGCAATTCTTCAAAGAGTTGGCATTTGAGTAGACTATCATGAAAATTCAAAATGAAAATCCTATCCCGTCACAAAATAAACTCTGCATATACTTAGCCTCCAGACCTCAACCGTGAACACTTCTCCAGCAGAACAAGTTATCTCAATAAATGCTTAGAACAGTTGATATCCATTCTCTGTATCAAAACAAAAATAAACCTCTTCATTGCCCTCAAACACTTCCTTCTACCCCTCCACACCTGTTTTCAAGCCTAAGGGTCAGGACAGTTGGTGACTTATAATAGCAGCTTGTGAAAATATGTAGGCTCATACTTAATATAACTGTTCAGTAGAAGAAAATCTTTCTTTGTATTATTGCACCCTCTCATGGTGAAAATTTGAGACAAAAATGCAAGATTAGTTTACATTCAAACTCCCGTTTTTTGTGAGTATAGAGGTACAACCAACAACTGATTAAGTGCTTGGCTACTATCTGAAAGATTGATGGTACAAATTCAACCAAAGATGTCTTGGCAGAAAGACCTAGAGATCTGTTTCAGGAAGTTCCCACCTTGAAAACCCTCTGGGTTATTGTTCCAAGCTACACACATGGGGTGGATGGCAATTGGTTTTGTTTTGTTTCTGTCTTTTAAAATTTCTGTGTTATTAATCACACATTAAAATAAAAGATACATGTTTAAGATTATTAAAGCATTGCAATCCTTTAATTTTGAGTCGCTTATTGAACTGGACAATTCCTTTAAGTTAAGGATTGACAATTTATAAACAACGCACATTTTTTCTCCCTTTCTTCCTTTCCACTCTCTTTGTATCTTCTCTAGGAGCTGGAAAATATCATCAGTCAGATGATGCATGTTGCCGAGTACCTTGAGTGGGATGTCACTGAACTTAATCCAGTAGGTATATGAAATGATACAATAATTAGAGAAATTCCAGAAAACCCCTGTTATTTTGTCTTCTCTGGAGCCTTAACACGTGTTGTTGTTAAGGGCTGTCAAGTCAGTTCGGAACTATAGCAATCCAGTATAGGGTTTCTGAAGAGTGGCTGGTGAGCTTGAACCATTGACCTTGTGGTTCAAGCCAACTTTGCAGTCCAGCACCTTAGTCCACAGCACCACCCCATATGCTATTTTAACATGTGAGAGGGCCTCAAAAAGTCTGGATTTTTTTTTCAGTCAAATAATACACAAGTGTGTAAGGGGAACACCATATACTAGTCAGTTGCATACACTTTAGAATAATTAGCCATTGGAGATCAAAAGGGCTGTTTTTACCCAAGGGCAAAGTTCAGGAAGGTTAGAACAAAAGGAGGAATGGAAATGGGAAAACAGAGAGAAAGTGGGATAATTCATGTTCACATTGTTGGGATTGCCATCCAATGTGTGTAAACTAGTCTGTGTGCTGATGGGGGGTGGGGTGGGCAGGCTGGTGGGCATGGAAGGGATTGTAATCATTGCAATGAAATGAAATACAATAGGCTAAGTGTAAAGCTAATGGTCACCCATGTAAATTATCACATAATTCACAATTTAAAAAAATGTGTATAAACTATTGAATTGAAAACTGATTTGGTTTGTATACCTTCACCGAACTCACAATAAAATGCTTTTAAAAATTAAGCCAAAAAAAAAATTGTGAAAGTTTCCCAAGAACTTTTTCAAACACTTTCGAAGATTCCATGGACAATTTTACCATCATGGCCCTATCAAGTAGGATAAAATTTAAAAATACATACAAAGTCCTATCGACTCATTTACTAAAGTTGGGTAAGTGAATTAAGGAGCATTGGTGGTGCAGTTGTTAAGCGCTCATTTGTTAACAAAAGGTTAGAGGTTCGAACCCACCCAGCAGCTCCGTGGGAGTAAAACCTGGTGATCTGTTCCTGGGAAGTTTATAGACAAGAAAATCCTATAGGGACAGTTTTACTTCGTCACATGGAGTCACTCTGAGTGAAAATGCAACTCCACAAGATCTAAAACTAAATAATAGTAGTGACTTAACTACTGTCCATGTAAATATGATTTAAATCATTGTTGTTGCATATAAATAAACAAATGACTATTGCAATTTATAATTACAAAACAATTTCATTATCTTGTGCTAAATTCATGCAGATGTGTTATTCAGTGTAACAATACAGACATGATTTACAGTGTGATCATATAAAATATATGGCAGGAGTGTCAAACCTGGAAAAATGCCTTCAGTTTTGTGTAGTGCCCAGTAACAATGGTCTGTACTTATTAGCTTTAAGTAGATTTCCCATTAAGTAACTACTAAAGTGTCAAGGGATATCTATAACATACTATATAATTATTACTTGAAGCAGATACAGAGATTTGACTAAAAGGAAAATTAATAGTGTAAGAAAATGGCAACTTAATTATTTTAGAAAGTGCTTTATAAAATGATATTTTTATTATTGTATATAGTATCTGAATAAATTGAACACAATTACTAAATGGAATGGATAGAAAGGAACATACTGCACCATCATAAGGAAGATCTTTAGTAATATCATTGTGGTGGTGGTGTGCTCTTAAGTCAGTTCTAACTCATAGCAACCTTGTATAGGGTTTCTGAGAGCTGGTGGGTATGAACGATCAACCTTATAGTTAACAGTTCAGTGCTTACCCTGCAGTGCCACACCAGTGCCACAATAGGGCCCTGTACAAATGAAATGAACTTCCATAGGCAAGAGTTAAGTTCTTATTATTGGAATATGAATTCGCACAATAAAATGTTATTGTGAAACTGAGAGGCTTATTCAAGTCCCTATATAATAGCTAAGGAGCTCTGATAGAATACTGGGTTATGTGTTGAGCTGCTAACCATGAAGTTAGTAGTTCGAATCTACCTGCTGTTCCTCAGGGGAAAGATGAGACATACTATTCCTATGAAGATTTACAGCCTCAGAAACCCTATACAGGGTCACTGTGAGTTGGAACTGACTTCATGACACCCAGCAGCAGTAGCAGCTGTATCGTTTGAAGTTGGGGCTATAAAGATCTCTCAGGTTCCTATAGACACTTCATAATAATAACTGGACAGAGGAGTGGAATTGTAGTCAGTTGTTTCTTTTCCTGTCTGTTGAAAAGCCTGGAAGGTTAACTGTTCTCAGGGTTACATCTATGCATTTATGTACTCAAGAGGGCCAAAGTGAGTGTCCCCATGTCTGATCCTGCCTGCCCTTACTGGTGGGGAGGTGATGGTTTCTCCCACATTAGTTCAAAGCAGAAGTATTGTTATTATAAGTAGATTCCAACTTATAACAACCCTATAGGACAGGGACTCCTGCTGTGCTACTGTAGGATCAGCACTAGACTGTGAACCACAAGTTCAGCAGTTCAAACCCAACAGCTGCACCTCAGAAGCCATACAAGTTCACTATGAGTCAGAACCAACTCGATGATACTTAACAACAACAACAGTAGGACAGAGAAGAATTGCCTATAGGTTCCTTGGCTGAAATCTATGGGAGCCTTTCACCAGGTCTTTAATTCCATGGAGTGACTGGTAAGTTCAAAATGCTAAACTTTTGGTTAGCACTCAACTGCTTAACCATTTTTCAGCAAGATGGTTCCTTTTTTTTTTTTTTTTTTTTCTTCTTTTCTTTGAAGGTTCCAGGTGGGGATTGTGGGTTTGATAAAAGGGATATCTGGAGGGTTTGAGCACAGGTGGTAAGACAGTCAAATTTTGACAAATACCTAATGGACAACACAAACTGTGTACCAGTACCTGTCATAGATTGCACAGGTGCTCTGTGGAGTTTAAAGAGTTGGAAAAGCAAAACCAAATAACTGTTGTTCAGTTTATTCTGACTCTTGGATAGTCCACATGGGCCAGAGTTGTTGCTGCATCATAGGGATATTTGGAAAGAAGCTTGTCAGGACTTTCTTCCAGAGTACAATTGGGTTGGATTCAAACCTTTGATCTTTTGGCTCTCTGTGAATGAATTAAATGTTCGCACCACCCAGGGACTCCAAAGAATCAGACTATGGGGTAAGACTTTACTTTGTGCAGTGTGGTTGCTGCCCTAGTAATGATATCATTCTGCCTACTGGTTCAACAGTACTCCTCATTTTAAAGAAATGCAGACATTTTCAGGCTCATTTACTTGGCACAAATGGTTTGCACTTGACTGTCTACTTAAAGGTTAGTGGTTTGAACACACCCAGCAAAACCATGTTCGAACAACCTGGCAATTTGCTTCCATTAAGATTATAGTCAAGAAAACCCCATGAAGAGGTTTTACTCTCTAGCACATGGGGTCATCATGACAGAATGGACTCAATGGCAAACAGCATAAATTGAGACAAGTGTTTATTTAAAGTTGATGACAGTTAGGAAAAACTGAGACGTACTTGGAAGGAGCTGCATGAAACTAACCCAGGCTCTAGATTTATTAGACACAAAGTGATATCTGAAAGAAATGTTTTGTTGTTTTCTCACTTATTCGTTTCTACTAATTCATCAGTGTGTCTTTAAAGGACAGGGCATTTTAACCTGATCATATGTTAGTTTGGCTAATTATAAATAATTTCTCTTTTCATTTATTTTCAGAATCATGAGATAATTATTTCAGAAACATTTTGCTTTCAAACTTACCTCCCAAAACTTGTAGATAAATTTGTTGCCACAAAAGAAAAATACTCTGATTTTCAAATATTTACTGAACAATGACACCAATTAACCAAGGATGGGAATGTTTAGATAAACAACACTTTAACTCTCAGAACACCTTTTGAAGTACGTACAAACATTAGTGCCCTATCACAGGGAGGCAAATGCATTACGGACACATGCTCTGGAGGGTATTAAGTTCAAGTCATCTTTAGAAAAGAAGTCTGATCACACATAATTTGTTTAACTTGTTGGCTTTATTAAGTTCTGATAGACAATTAAAAGCAACTTAATACTCCCCTCCCCTTACCACTTAGCAAAACAGTGTTTCAGCTCTTTGCCATGAAGTTAATTTGCTCAGACATTTTCTAGCATATATTTGAATTAAAAATGAAAAAAAAAAAAAAACCAAAACTGGAGAAAGTAATTAAAGATCGCGTACACTCTTAAATTAAAGATACTTTCTTGTTTTAGCCAGACCATACATTGAAAAAATATTAAAAAGTTAAGCAATTATCTCTGAAGTTTGAGCAATGTAGATTCTAGAATTCATGACAAAGACACTTTTATCTCAGTAATTGGATGGATGCTGTACTGAGTTATCTAGAGATCTGTCTCAACTTTCCACTTACCTGCTAGTCATGCATTGTTAGAACCAGCTCTACATTGTGCTTTGTTGGATCATATACAGATCACCATTGTTATTCATTACGAGTTTTCCACGTTTCCTCCACTCCAGATCCTCCATGAAATGATGGAGGAAATCGATTATGACCATGATGGAACTGTCTCTCTAGAGGAATGGATCCAAGGAGGAATGACAACAATTCCACTTCTTGTCCTCCTGGGCTTGGAGAATGTAAGTAATCACACAGAACAGGGGACTCTGGTGAAAAGTTAGAGGGGTTCTCGATTGTACATTTAAATTATAAAATGGTCTGACCATTTTTCTACCATTAAGAATTTAATGAGTGCCTGGATCTTTTAATAAGTATTTTTGCTGTTGTTGTTACGTGCCGTTGAGTCGATTCTGACCCATAGCGACCCTGTATATGGTTTCCGATGAGTGGCTAGTGAGCTTGAACCACCATCCTTGCAGTTCAAACTGACTTTGCAGACCAGAGTGTCAACCGGCAGCACCATACCAGGGCTCCTTTAAGAAGTATGCTATTCTGTAATTTAACAATAACTCTTGGTGTAGTAATAGTTGTCACAGGCACATCGAGTCATTTCAGATACTGTGTTGTTGTTAAGTGTTAAGTGTTGTTAAGTTGAGTCGGTTTTGACTCAGCGACCCTCCATAGGGTTTACAAGTGCTGGTTGGTGAGTTTAAACCACTGACCTTGTGATTAACAAAGCAATGCTTATCCTAAAACCCCACACCAGGACTCTGGATACTCCCTTAGGATTTAATATAAATCCTTTTGTCTTTAGTTTCCGTCTACTTACAGTGTAATCTAGTAGTGGAAAGAGCTCAGGTGGCAGTGTTTAAATGCTCAGCTGATAACTGAAAGGTCAGCAGTTGGAACCATGGGAAGAAGATGTAACAGTCGGCTTCCACAAAGATTTACAGCCTTTGTAACCCTATGGGGCTGCTCTCCTCTGTACTATACACTCACTATGAGTCAGAATGAATTTAGCAGCAATTTGTGTTTTTCAATTTTTAAAAGATTAATGATTGACTTCCTCATATGATCTAATTCAAGAGAGTTTCCACTCCAATATTATTACTTTCAATATTGCACTGTAGGACAATCACTGGACCACAAGGTCTGTTTGAACCGCAAGGTTGTTGGTTCAGGCTCACCAGCCAGTCCTTTGAAATTGTATACAAGTTTGCTGTGATTCGAACCAACTCAACGGCACGTAAAAGCAACATGGTTCTTATGCCTTTTCATCTCATTCCATATGCCTACCCTCAGGAAGATATTTAATTTTGTATATGACCAATATTCGGAGTAGCCAGTTTTGTATTTGGGATAGTTGAGAGGATAAATATGTGCATACACACATATGTTTTTCTTTTATATTAGCAGCTCAACTAAGCTCTGCTTCTAAGCCTGTCAATTTTTTTCTTGTTCCAGTGCATCTAGTAGCAATTAAATGTTGACCTTGGGGAATAAAAAAGGTCAACCTTAGAACAGAATACAATAGAATAATGACTTTGTATCCAAAGTTTGTTGACCTAGCCTTGTCATGGATTTCAGTAATTCTAAGAAACAAAGTAAAATAAATAAATAAATGAGCTCACTAACCTGATTTTCATATTTATTATTAATAATTTAGGAAGAATTGTCTATAATGTAATGTGTAGTAAAATATTATGTTTGGATTCCAGTATGGGTGATCGAAAACACTGCAGCACATACAATAAAGTGTTGAGCTATATTAGCATAATGTCCATACTTGGCTGCTGATCCCAAAATATTTCAAGCTTTTGTTGTGTGTTGTGAGTTTATTCCAACACCTAGTGACCTTTAATGCCAGAGTAGAGCTACTCCATGGTGTTTCCTAGGCTATGGGACAGATAACCAGGTCTTTTGCCCTCTGGAGCATATAATAGGCTTGAACTTCCACATTTGAGTCTACAGTTGAATGCTTAACCATGGTTCTACCAGGGCCGATTGATTCAAACTTCTAACTAGACCAATGGCAATTTGCATATTTGAAATTGCAGCACAATTAAACAATTTTTACCAAATTTTTAGGTCATATATAAAGATATCTCATAGTCTGGTAATATATTTGAATGGTATAAAATATATATTATATTATTTACAAATAGGTTTGGGGATATAAAAATGAACTTTAAGACAGTATTTGCCCCTTTTTTTTTTTTGGATTTTCAAATTTTAGGCATGGTAGTAGCTAGAAAAGAAAACAGTATTAACATGTAAATTTAGGAAATTAAAACTTACCATATTGTTGTTAGGTGCCATTGAGTCAATACCAACTCATAGTGACCCTATGTACAACAGAACGAACCACTTTGTATTCCTGTGCCATCCTCACAATTATTGCTACATTTTGAGCCGATTGCTGCTGCCACTATGCCAATCCATCTCATTGGGAGTCTTCCTCTTTATCTCCAACCCTCCACTTTACCAAACATAATATCCTTTCCCAGGGATGATTCCATCTTGATAAAATGTCAGAGTATGAGAGACAAAGTCTGGCCATCCTGGCTTCCAAGGAGCATTGTGACTGTACTACTTCCAATGCAGATTGATTTGTTCTTTTGAAGTCAAAGGTACTTTCAATAGTCTCTTCCAATACCATAACTCAAATCAATTCTGCTACACTCTTCCTTATTCATGTTCCAACTTACACAAACATATGAAGTTACTGAAAATACCATGGTTTGGGTCAGGCACACCTTAGTCCTCAAACTGACACCTTTGCTAATGAACACTTCAAAGAGGTTTTGCTTAATACGTAATTTGATTTCTCGACTACTGCTTTCATGAGTGTTGATGGTTGATCCAAGCAAAATGAAATCTTTGACAACTTCAATCTTTTCTCCATTTTATATGGATGTTGTTTATTGGTCCAGTGGTGAGGATTTTTGTTTTCTTTACACTGAGGTACAACCATACTGAAGGCTGTGGTCTTT